TTTTCTTTGTTTTAATTGTTTGGGATATGACTGGCTGTAGGTTTTCTTTGTTATAATTGGTGGGGATATGATTTGATGTAGTTTTTATTGTTTTAATCCAAGGGGATATGTTTGGCTGCAGGTGTTCTTTGTTATAATTGGTGGGGATATGATTTGATGTAGTTTTTATTGTTTTAATCGACGGGGATATGTTTGGCTGCAGGTGTTCTTTGTTATAATTGGTGGGGATATTATTGGCTGTAGGTTTTCTTTGTTAATTGTTTGGGATATGATTGGCTGTAGGGTTTCTTTCTTTAAATTGGTGGAGGTATGATTGGCTGTAGGTTTCTTTCTTTTAATGGGTGGAGATATGATTGGCTGGAGGGTTTCTTTGTTATAATTGGTGGGGATATGATTGGCTGCAGGATTTCTTTGTTATAATTGGTGGGGATATGATTGGCTGCAGGATTTCTTTGTTATAATTGGTGGGGATATGATCGGATGTAGTTTTTATTGTTTTAATCCAAGGGGATATGTTTGGCTGCAGGTGTTCTTTGTTATAATTGGTGGGGATATGATTTGATGTAGTTTTTATTGTTTTAATCCAAGGGGATATGTTTGGCTGCAGGTGTTCTTTGTTATAATTGGTGGGGATATGATTGGCTGCAGGATTTCTTTGTTATAATTGGTGGAGATATTATTGGCTGTAGGTTTTCTTTGTTATAATTTGTGGAGATATGATTGGCTGCCGGTTTTCTTTGTTATAATTTGTGGAGATATGATTGGCTGGAGTTTTTATTTTGTTTTGATTGGTGGAGATAGGATTGGCTGCAGTTTTTCTTTGTTATAATTGGTGGGGCTATGATTGGATGTAGTTTTTATTGTTTTAATCGACGGGGATATGTTTGGCTGCAGGTGTTCTTTGTTATAATTGGTGGGGCTATGATTGGATGTAGTTTTTATTGTTTTAATCGACGGGGATATGTTTGGCTGCAGGTGTTCTTTGTTATAATTGGTGGGGATATGATTGGCTGCAGGATTTCTTTGTTATAATTGGTGGCGATATGATTGGCTGTAGGTTTTCTTTGTTATAATTGGTGGGGATATGATTGGATGTAGTTTTTATTGTTTTAATCGAAGGGGATATGTTTGGCTGCAGGTTTTCTTTGTTATAATTGGTGGAGATATGATTGGCTGTAGGTTTCTTCTTTTAATTGGTGGAGATATGATTTGCTGTAGGTTTTCTTTCTTTTAATTGGTGGAGATATGATTGGCTGTAGGTTCTTTCTTTAAATTGGTGGAGATATGATTGGCTGTAGGTTTTCTTTGTTATAATTGGTGGAGATGTGATTGGCTGTAGGTTTCTTTCTTTTAATTGGTGGAGATATGATTGGCTGTAGGTTTTTTCTTTAAATTGGTGGAGATACGATTGGCTGTAGGTTTTCTTTGTTATAATTGGTGGGGATATGATTGGATGTAGTTTTTATTGTTTTAATCGAAGGGGATTTGTTTGGCTGCAGGTTTTCTTTGTTATAATTGGTGGAGATATGATTGGTGGTACAAATGTTTGTTCTAATTGTGACATCACAGTCAGATAACTTCATAGTGTCACCAATTTCAAGCCTGACCAATAAATTGCTATTTTCATCAACTTTACCAACAAATGTTTCTTTGGTTCATATTGTGTTTTACATTAACAGCTATGGTCATTTAAGGTCATTTAAGGTCATCTTGGCTGTTTGGGAACAGAATCGTGAGGCACTTTCTTGACCAATTCATATGACATAGGTGAAACTTGTCACAAGGCTTGCTAAAATTAAATTATAAAGAATTATCATAATCTCATATGAAAAGGAAATTCAGGGACCTCCAGCCTACTTGGCTATTGTATGGAAATGATGTGTGTGTGTGTACTATGTAGTGTTCTGAAGAAGTCTGTATAGGATTGTATAGATGTGTACAGTATATTCTCACTGTCACAATGTCTTCATACAGAGCTTGATAAACAAATATCAGACAGATTTATGTTGTTTTCATCTTTATTAAAAACCATATTGTATTTTTTTTCAATGTTTCTTCATTTATCAATAAAAAAGTAAAACATTTCCATGACTTCGAAATCCTCACGCCATGTGTGGATATAACATGGCAGCCGTTCATGTCATCAACGACCTCGAAAGAAATGATAAAAATTAACATCGCACTATATACAAGGAAAGGCCGTTACGAGCCTCCCTATATAACAGATATGTTACGTGTCAATAATATCGGCAACACGACCAAACCACAAACAGTAGCTGTTTACAGTTGTCAAAAACATGTACACAGATTCCAAAACATCGCTCACTTGGAACCCTACTCGTAAAAAGCCAGGATTGGCAGTTTCCATGGCACCTGAAAAAATTGTTTCAATAACTTATAATTTACTACCAAAAAGGGTGCTTTCAAATTTATGTTATCTTTATAATAATTGTGATATATATATATATTTATATATTTTTAACTACATCACTCATTACTTTATTCGCTTTCGAAAAACAGTTAATGCTAAAACCCAAATCTATCACATACGCCAACTGGTGATTCCCAAATAACAAACAATACATACCTTAAATTAAACTCTAACTTTGTCTTAATAATCAACATGCATATTATCCTATATATAATTTGATGTGATACATCTGACATGCATATTCATAATTGAACATTTACATAACCATCAAAATTTGCTCACCAGTCATAATAGCTTCATAAACACATTGAATACCCAGGAAGTAAATGACAGCTCACGTTTCTGTCGCGAAAAGGTTCGTCTCTAGAGAGAGGAAAAAAGTAGTCCAAAATTCTCATTCATTCAGTAACATTGCACTGAACTAATTACCTATCTCATATAAAAATTCAACAGAAAAACTCTTGATTCTCTAAAAAAATATTTTACGGAAGAATCGAAATAACAACATCGTTACAATATCTATGGTAACCAACGAGAACCCAAACTGTCTAGCCTAACACATTAATGGTACGCACGTACATATTACGCTCACCGACATGTATTTTTGAGTCAAAAAGGTGTGTTACCAAAAAAATGAAATATTGCTGCAATCAAATAAATTTCCTATAAAAAATTAAACACATAAAAATAAAAACCTCTGTTATTATCAATAAGGGAATGTGTGATATAGGAATAATGTTTCTCTTCAGAGTAAATCGGCCAACTGTTACACCCCTAGATACCACCCTCGACATTCAGAGATTTTTTTCGGGGGTGGAATGACTAATGCTTTAAATTCTGCCTTGAGTATAGCCGGCCAGGTGTTCAATCCGTGAGTTTGTCGCCATCAGGTTTAAAGTTAATACATGTGTATGCGCGTGTACGAATACGGACCGTAAATATAAACATACATTATATGTACAGCAATATAATGGTCCTGTACAATACAACAACACAGTAAAAAAGTCAAGTTCTGGTATTTAGCCACGAGCTAACAGACTCCCCGAGACATAACAATGGACTACAGCAGGGGAGGCAGGAAAACACAGCACAGATGTCCTCAAAAAAACATCTACTGATGCATAGGAAAAAGCACAAGAGTGAAGGTAGAATTTAACAATATAGCTATCCCACCTTCTAAAAGTGGAGAGTTCTTATTATAATACGAGGACCATCTTCTGGTGAAGCTTTATGAAGCTATGTGACTTTACGCCGACCTAGTTAAGTGAGCTACCTGAACCATACTTGGTGAGCTATTTTGACATGTGAAAGGTGAATTATTTGACATTGACTACCATTACTGGCATGGTAAGTCCTTTATATTGTATCATACACAGGTGTAGACTTACCAAATATGGTCAACACCACCACATCAACAACTGTTGAAATCATTGACACACGGTCCCCTTAGTGTAGGACGACATGATTGGCCAATTTCACCAATCCCTCTGTAGCAATGACGTCCATGCTTATGGTAAAGCCTTATGTGAAGATCACAAAAAATATAAATTATGAAATTTTTATATATCTTTTACGGTACATATCTCTAAAAATATCACCCATATAACTAGAACACATATCTATTGGAACATCTTCAAATAATCAAAATGAAATGCTAAAAATGTCAACAAGACATATACCTGTAGACTTATTGCACATTTACATAGTCAATTAAAAACTACAAATCTGTAAGTGTATAGGACGACCCCATCATCAAGTTAACAAGGAGATCATTCAAGATTTCTGCTGAATTTTGTCTGGTGACATGACCGAATTATCTAATTGTTTTACATCAGACTTTTTTCAATAAATGTGGCCAATTAGAAATTTGTTTTGTTCTTTGATCGATACAAGTTTTCTATCACAAACAGATCAATAACAGTCTAAATTATTTCTTATCAAACGATTTTGACATTTTAAAGAATTTAATGAAAAATAATTATTTTTTTGATAAATTTAAAACCAAACCAATCGCAGCCAGAGAGTCGTAGAGAACACAGATGAGTTGTAGAGAACACACAAACTTAGGGACAAATATCGGTGATATATATCAAATGAGATCACTTTTCTTTCTTTTTTTTGCCAATTTTTGTTAAATCAAACAAAATCATAAGTATTTCTGTTAAATATATTCCAATATGATTTTGTACATTGATACAGTCCAACTTGTCTGAATAAATACCTAGTATAGCTGACCTATACAGCATTAATTACCTTACAAGTAAACAACTAACAGGGAAACAAACATAAGATCTATTAGGGGCAAGGCAACAGGGAGAAAAACAAAAAATAATTTGCCATTCAGCGTAAATTCCTGAATTAACAAATCCCCAACGAGTCATGTCCTGCATTCTCTAATTGGGTAACGTCCATATATAGGTATGTCCATTAAGTCCTTGTTTGGGTATACGTCCATATATAGGTATGTCCATTAAGTCCTTGTTTGGGTATACGTCCATATATAGGTATGTCCATTAAGTCCTTGTTTGGGTATACGTCCAATGCCCTTGTTAATGTTCACTTTCTGCTAACACTGTCTGCTAACACTGTCTGCTGGTTCCTCTAGATTTATTTGAGATTGTGATGTCGTGCCAAATTCAAAAGAAACAATATTTCATACTTCTGTTTCCGATGATTTGCACAATTTTTGGTCATGTGTAATTTTTGGTGTTGCTTTTGCTCAATGTTCATTTCGACAGACCATTTTTCTTTAATATTTGCTACAGCTGAGTATTTATAGCATTTGGATGACCTTGAACTTTGATAAACACTTCATAAGGTCATGACCTATAAATGCCCTCTGAGAAGACTCTGCTTTTAACGGCGAAACGCAGTCATTCAGAGAAAAGCTTGGAGCTTTTCTAACAACCTCAGTATTGCTGGAATACTTGATCCTCTAACAAGAACAACTGAAAAACAAAACATACATTCCGGTGAGTTCAATTATTCATGCAGAAATAAATAGTAATACACTACAGAATGTGAAAGTACTTGTATTTGTCAAACAATCATTATCATCCTACAACAAATATCATTTATGATCAAGAATAAATCTGTGAAATTATTTTACAAATACCGCAATGTTGGTATGACTTACAAATCTTATCAGAAATCCACAACCTCAGTAAATATACATACCCAAATTTCTAGCAATATATTTCATCATCTGTCTTCTCAGATGACTGGTCTGTCTTTCCCTGAGCTGTCCCTTGTGGAGCTCCCGAGTTAGGGATGTCAACAGAAGCTGACTTGTGTGTGTGACCTTTGTCGCCAAGCAACAGACTAGGGACAGAGGTCAGACTGGATGATCTGCACTTGTTAGAGCCAGGCTCCGCTAACTTCATAATGCGGGACAGAGATGACGATGACGACTGTTTGCTTGACGTCATGTTTGTCCGTGAGTGGTACGATTTTTGACTAGCACTGTTGTTTGGGTGTCCCGCGGCACCACCGACACTGTTTACAGAATTGTTACTGCCACTAGCAGCCAGCTTAAACGGTAAAACCTGCTGCACACTGCTGCTGCCCTTACCCATCAGGCTGCTAGAGGAACCCTGTCCTGTACTTAGTCCACTACGTGTTGGAAGCTGTTGTTGCACTTTGATTCCAGACACCTTCTGTTCATTTTTAGCACTTAACAAATGTTCGGGCAGGTTCTTTTTACTAGCACTAGATGACATACCAGCCCGCGAATCACTGCGGCTGGCTGTCACTTCACGACGGGAAGTTTTCATATTTCCCTGTCGAAGTCTGTCCATGTCATTTTCAATCATTTGACAGAAGTCTGCCGAAGCAGACCGTCTATGATTTGCCTGAGCACTGCTCGGCGAATTGTCTCTTTTGGTAACTTGACCAAAGTCCGAGTGGGTGTCCCGAGACTCAGAGGAGCTAAGCTGAGACACACCAGGAGCACTAGAGTGTCCGTCCTTCTTCAGCTGACTTTCCCACAACACTATCTGGGCCTGGTAACGCTCCTTGTCTTGTCGAAGGTCCTCCTTCTGTGACTGAATCTCTGCCGCAAACTCAAGACGCTCACTCTCCATTTTGTCCTGTAATAAACACCATAGTTCAATTATCGACACTGAATTCTGTAACATATATCATACCTGTTGTTTCTTGAACTATACTAAATGTGAATATTTTTTAATGTTTAAAATTAAGAAAAAATAAGTAGCGTAATGTTTGTCTTAATTATAAAAAGCAACTCTCATTTGTTCCATTGATATATAAATCCCCTAATAACAGAATACGGCACTCTTTACCTCCTCCAGTTTTATAGCTTGTTTCATCTCCTCCAGATTCTGGCGTTCCTGTTCTGCATAGTTTCTTTCACGTTCCTTCTCTCTTTCAAATGCTTGTTTTTCCTTTCTTACCATTTCCTGCAAACATAATCAAGGATACATGTATATATAGTACTGTTAAATGTTCTGCCATATCAAGTTGTTACAATAACATATCAAGATTCAAAATTTAAAAAGATTACTGAAGAAAAGATTGCAAAAATTATCTGCAAAAAGTTGAACATAGTTGCCAATTAAAACAACCAACTTATATAATGATGTGTGTGTAAGCTATTTATTGTATGTATGAGATCCATAGTAAGCATGCATGAGCTACATACATGGGTGCGACATATGTGACCTATACATTGTATGTGACCTATACATTGTACATGACCTTTACATTGTACTTGACCTTTACATTGTATGTGACCTTTATGTATGTTCTCACCTGGAGATTGCGGAGTTCCTCCAGCTGATTGTACCTATAGCCTCCCTTACGTTCGTGCACCTCGGCGGAGAGCTTGTTGATACGTTCATTGGCCTCGGCCAGTTGAGCTCTGAGAGTTTCCACAGCGGTTCCTTGTTGGGCTGTCAGATGCTGTAAAAACAACAACACATTTAATGATTTGTAAATATTAATCAAAAGGAGCTGAGCTGTTTGCTGATACAGCTACGGACAAACCAGCTTTAATAAACACCTGTGTAAACCGATACTGTGTCAACAAGCAAATACCTGTCTATAAAGACCAGTGACTCCCGATACTGTGTCAACCAGCAGATACCTGTCTATAAAGACCAGTGACTCCCGATACTGAATTGTACCTAAACCTACTTATGGTTTTTTTCCCCATTTTCGAACGCGAGTGTCTCATCCACTTTTCAAGGAAAAATATCTGTTGAGTTGTCAATGTTAAAATCCAGGCCATTCCTATTTCATAAAGGACAACTCTGACTGACCAAACCAATTAGTCTGTGATCAAATGAAGTGATCAAGGTCACTCTCTGTGAAGGTCACCAGAATGTCCCTTTGTTGACTTATATCCGTTTATGAATTTTGAAATATTTTGATGAGGAAATTCCTAGTTTCCAATTTCGTTATTTTGTTTTGTCCTCCATTAACCGAGAAAAACATGTCAATAAAGATTGCGTGAAGGGTCACATAGATAAAGACCAACTTTATAAAAGTCCTAAATACAGCAACTGCTGAGAGTGCATGATGATGAGAGCACACCTGTGAGGACAGGTATAAAAGTGACAGGTATGACATTTGTAAGAGGATATCTCTATCACACCTCTAACACAAAGCACAGCTCTCAGGTATCTCCATATATAACCCTAGCTCACCGCTCACTGCTACTGTAGCCTGTATGATAGCTACAGAGGGAAGATGAGCAGTGTTAATAGAGAGTGATAGAAGAGTAACTCCTCTACCCCCCCCCCCCCCCCCCCCCCCCCTCCCACCTATACAGATGGTATTTTAAGCACACAGGTATCACCCTGAACCTTTGTCTCATTGACATTTCAACCTGATTACACATCACCTGCAGATTTGTTTCACTTGAAAGTTTTGGTGTAGGAAAAAATAGCCAACATGACAAATGGATTTGAGTCACACAATATAGATAAATGTGTGTGCTGTACTTTAGATAAGTGAATACACAGACACGCTTATTCTGTGGAGACAGTATCCGTATGCAACAGCTAAGATTTCTATTCATAGTGTCACAATGATAAATAACTCAACATTTATTATCAATCCTTTTTCTCACTTCATATAAAATGGTGTACTTTAATTCTTCAGGACAGAAATAAGTTACATATTTTTTACTTCTGAATTATCTAAATAAATTTTGTATTTGAAAAGTGACATTTAGCACTAATTGAAATTTAACAAGACGGCTGTTCATTGGTCACCGTATTTTATAATCATCAATCTTGGTGAATAGGCCATTTACTTCGTACCTAGTCCCTCCGATCTAAATATTTCATCTATTACATAATTACAAGTTAGATGCACACATGTTTTAATGCAGCCACCGTATTGAGAAACAAGTTCATTTTTTTTCATGCAGAAATGAACAATGTTACCAAATGATAAAGCAGAATGCTCCAAGTTCATTAAGTAAGATATATCAGTTGACAGTACATGAAGTAAGATATATCAGTTGACAGTACATTAAGTAAGATATATCAGTTGACAGTACATGAAGTGCTATATCAAATATTTCACTACAACTTTATAATTCAATACCTACAAATTCTCTCACAAAAACATCAACATTTTACTCAAGTGCACAAAGACGGCATTAACAGGTGCAAGTTTTCAGACATTCCTAGCACAGCCTCACTTAAGTAACCTGAATCTGAACCAATATGGACTGAATATGTCTGATCGGTATTCCAACACGGAAATGTAAAACTGAACAATACAATGCTTCTCTCAGATGTTGTACCCGTTACAACGCTGGATTGTCAAGTCTACCAGCAGCCTGAGTACTATTGTACATCCAAATATTGAGTTACACAAACTCTGAGGAGTGTAACACCTGTGTGTAGCTATGTAAAATGACCTATAATATCATTTTGATGACTTCATTCCTTTAAAATTCCTCTTTGCTGTGTTAAATTACTTTCATTGGTTTTTTTTAACTCAATAACAGCACATGGAATTTGTTTTTGTATAAATTATGGAATTATGAAGTGTTTTACAGTATATGATATATATATAAATTATGGAATTATGAAGTGTTTTACAGTATATGAAATATATAGATGTTTCTTGGAAAAGGATGAAAAGTGAAAATTGTCAAAAAAAACCCCATACAATTTTAAGACTTTCATAGTTAGGGGGAAAAAATCAGATAAAAGAGAAAAACAAAGGAGATATGTTGGATTCATGTTTGCCAGACGTGTTGGATTCGTGGTTGCCAGACATGTTGTTTTTCACTTTCAGATATCCTTAGACCACTTCTAGCATATCATTTTAAATGTAACAACAGATATCATAATACATCTGCTTGTAGTGTTTTCTCAGGAGGGAGGGTGGTTATGGAGACATTGGTATACAATGTCCTCCCACAGACACTGGGGCCATGTTTAGTAGCCTGCAGGGATCTCATCATTAAGTGGCTATTGTGATCTCTTTTTAATATACGGGATTCATATAACGTCTACAGTGTGTATTCTATCCTAAACGAGGAGGGCACATCCCTGTCAGTCTCCTCCTCAGGCGTTCATATCCTACTTTCACAGACGTCTCTGTCACACAATGTCTGGCAACCTTGGTGTGCATCTCGCATACATTTTATGTATAAATGTTTAATTTCTGTCTTTAATAAGGATCTCAACATTCTGATCTTAATGATGAAGCAAACCCAATGATTTCCAATCTGGTCTTGCCGTGACCTTGATATATTGGTAAGTGTTATTGTGCCTCTAAGTAACAGAGACATGTTTTCCTCTTTAATAAGAGGATCTTTCACTGAAAATTTCCTTTGTATTCCAACATTTTTAAAAACTATTTTATTGGTACAATCTTCCACCACAAGCAATCAGAGTGAAACTATGTCAATAAAATATTAATGGTTTCTGGAAAACCAACAAAACTGTAGATTTTGGTACATAACAGAAGTTTGTGTTGAACAGTATTGTCTTGGACACCACAGAACCGGTAGTGTAATTTGATGCCAGGACAGGGAGTGTTGGAGAAGGACCTACAGTATCAATAACCAGGACTTACAGTGTGGGAAAGACTTTCTGTCAGTTAAACTTACACCCAGATTTGCTTAATATTTTTTTTCATTTCAAAAGACTTATTTTTCATAACTCCCCCATCAAGTGAAAGGGGACAGTCCCAAACTTACTTTGATAACGAGTGGGTCGCCAGCTGGACAATGGTTGGAGAGAAGAGTGCTATACAGTTTACAAGGTGTTTTCAGCCCACATAGAAGCCATTTCACCTAATGTGTTTTTGTTTTCTTTCATGAGTGAATTCATTTCACTTGTCTGAATGCTAACACTTTTTTTACATTATACATGTAATGGATTTTATGTCAAAGGGATCATGAAAGTAATATCTAACTGTACTTGTTAACGATGTTTTAGCTCTCGATGTTTTAGCTCTCGTATTGCCTGGACAGGTTCTGCCTCCCTTGTGACAAATGTACCGTCAAAACACACCTAATTGATAGTTACAAGTCATTTGGTGCACAGCCAGAAACAAAGCCTAAAAAACAGATCCAATCAAATTCTAGAGGCCATTTCTGCAAAACTGCGTTGGTCAAACCGCAGCTTGGTGCAAAATAACAGAGAACAGAGGGAGTCTCACAGCTTTAAAGTTTGTGTGACTTAGAGTGCAAAGTGATGACAGTCCTTTTATAACTCCTAAAGCGGGTTAAGTATTCAACAGGATGTCCTTCTGTGAGGTCTATATATAAACTGGGTTGGGTAATTATCTTTAACGTCTAATACATGTAACTTCCCATCAACAACAGGTATGGTTGCTAATGACATCCTTTAACATCTACATATAACTTCAATTACTACTGGCTTTGATTATCAATTACTTCATCACTTTTTTTTCACGTGCATTTCCATAAAGCTAATTTGTTTTTGAGGCATCATTTTTCATGATCCTGACACGACAAATGTGTGTTGGGTAACCCCTTCGGTGTGTTTTGTGTATTGGGTGACTCAGATTTTTGAGCTGTGTGGTAGATCCTAGTACTACAGACTAGGGTTCTATCTGCCAAAGAGCTGACCTTTGTCCATAAGGACACAAAGTACCCCTCAGCTTCTGCCTGACTCATCATCTGGTGATGTGTGGCCTTATCTTTCTGCCAGCTTTCAACCACAACAGGGTTGTTCTTTATTAGGACTACACCTTACAGGGGGTGTTATCAGCTTTCACAGACACCACCTCTTTTAATCAGGGGTTACACATTACAGGGTGTGGCACCAACTACATGTACGTTAAGTTAATTGAAGTTTTTGATATCATCCAGCAAATTATGTGATAATTTCAACATTTTTTTGACATTTCACATACAGCAATGAAGATATTTTTACAGCATTCCGCTATGTTACTGTCAATTTTGTTATTATTGGATTAAAACATCAGTTACCCGGGTATCCTCATCTTAATCACCGCCCCACACCGACTAGGGCTTGCAGAATACATGTCATCGAAATTTTAACCATGAGAATGCAGAAATTCTAATCCACCGACATATGATTACACAGAGTCTAAAAAACTAATTCAGATATATTTATAATATTGATAGATTTTTTAAATTTCCAATTCAAGTGACGCTCCATTTATGAGTGCCAGCCTGACACTTACTGAACAAGGGTATTAGACAGAGGAATGCGATGAAACCTAGTCTGAGCCTTTGTTGGCCCTGCCATCTTGTGTGATAAGTGGATACTGATCAAAATATGTGTTGGGGGGTCACAATGACACAAATTAATGTCTGATGACACAGGGAAATACATTACAAATGACAATGTGCACAGTGCAGCAGCATTATGGTATAAACTTGTCATCTTTATCTCTAATTGGATGTCTTTGTTATTTTATCCTGGGTCCTACCTGTGTGAAGAATTAATCGTATAAATGTTGCAAATCTCTGTTTTCACTACTGTGATGTGATGTGAAGGGTGACTCAACACCCCCAGTAAAATGTGACCAGGCTATTTAAGAGGGGGTGCCAAATGCTGTGTCGCCTGTACAGGTGGTGTGTCCTCCATGACACACGATAGGGCCCAGGCCACTGTCTCCTAGGCTGACACCTGGGTTCTAAGAATATTTGGACATTTAACTTATTTCAAAACTTTTTCAAATGAATTATTTCACTGATTTTATTTTGTCAGAGACTAGAGGTGAAAAATTGGCCATATTAATGATGTCTAACAAAACGAAATAAAACACCAAGACAGGACTTGTAAAACACTTTGTTACACTATAAATCATTACAATGTCTCACAACAATGAACTATTGAAATAGTAATAACACAACAAATACTCTGGCATGGTAACGGGTCAAATGTCATCCTGGACTGTAAAGAAGCTGACCTAGGAAGCTTTTACACGATAGAGAAACTCAGTAATGATAGCCCTATAATTACAGGTGAGACGGTTATTAATCAGATAAAGTGTAATATTTTCAGGTAAAATTTTAGGCCAAGAATTAACTGGGGATTTGTAGACCTGGTCTAGTTGTGTAGCGGTAGTTGTAACTGATGTTAGTAACCTTCAGAATGGCATATCTGATCTAATTAATACACACCATTCATCAAATCAAGAATTAATATCAGACATCGGATCATGCTACAAAAGCATCCTTATACCATCCATGACCGTCAACTGTAGGTAAGGACACACAAGGATTAAACACCTTGGTTATAGTGTAGTCTGGTCTATGACGTTATCCCATCCATGACCGTCAACTGTAGGTAAGAACATAATGATTAAACACCTTGGTTATAGTGTAGTCGGGTCTATGACGTTATACCATCCAGGACCGTCAACTGTAGGTAAGGATACAGAAGGATTGAACACCTTGGTTATAGTGTAGTCTGGTCTATGACGTTATCCCATCCATGACCGTCAACTGTAGGTAAGGACACACAAGGATTAAACCCCTTGGTTATAGTGTAGTCTGGTCTATGACGTTATCCCATCCATGACCGTCAACTGTAGGTAAGAACAAAAGGATTAAACACCTTGGTTATAGTGTAGTCGGGTCTATGACGTTATACCATCCAGGACCGTCAACTGTAGGTAAGGATACAGAAGGGTTAAACACCTTGGTTATAGTGTAGTCTGGTCTATGACGTTATCCCATCCATGACCGTCAACTGTAGGTTAGTACACACAAGGATAAAACACCTTGGTTATAGTGTAGTCTGGTCTACGACGTTATACCATCCATGACCGTCAACTGTAGGTAAGGATACAGAAGGATTAAACACCTTGGTTATAGTGTAGTCTGGTCTATGACGTTATACCATCCACGACCGTCAACTGTAGGTAAGGACACAGAAGGATTAAACACCTTGGTTATAGTGTAGTCGGGTCTATGCCGTTATACCATCCATGACCGTCAACTGTAGGTAAGGATACACAAGGATTAAACACCTTGGTTATAGTGTAGTCTGGTCTATGACGTTATACCATCCATGACCGTCAACTGTAGGTAAGTACACACAAGGATTAAGCACCTGGGTTATAGTGTAGTCTGATCTATGACGTTATACCATCCATGACCGTCAACTGTAGGTAAGGACACATAAGGATTAAACACCTTGGTTATAGTGTAGTCGGGTCTATGACGTTATACCATCCATGACGCCGTCATTTGTTGTACATGCTTGGTGTATGGGAAGGAGCATCCTATTAACAGTTAGGGTAACTTAAGGATGTGTTGTCATGGACCAACAATTCAAGATGGATATGACAAAGATCTAGACAGGTTTACCTCTGTGAGACTGAAGAAGGGCAGCAGCCCAACATATTATTATTCTAGGGAGTATATCAAACAAAAACATATTGAAAGAATTCCCCGAGGTGCTTTTGTTTTATAAAGTGGATTACATGTTCATGTCTGAGTCATCATCCAATGTTGTTTAGACAGAAACTTGTAATTATCAGACAGTAGCATGTTAAGTGACAAGTGATTCAGTACACATGAGTTGGTCAGATAGGAATGATTTAGACTATTTACAATTATAACTTATAGTATTGAAACCCCCACATTATTGATTATCAATGGCCGGGCACATACTTCCTGTGTAATAGAATACTTAGATGTACGACTGGCCTTGACCTTGTAATTATAGCTGACATGTCAATCATCAAATGCTCTGTTTGTTAATTAGACATGACATCACCCTACCTTTATTGGTAAAATTGGTGCAAAATATTGGTGTGGATTATACCTGTGTGAATTATACCTGTGTGGATTTTTCTTAATTTATGACAAAAAACAAAATCAAGTTCTCAATAAAAACATAGTAAAACCACAGATGTGATTACAAGCTAAACTTGACAAAATGTCTGATCCATGTCTATCATCTCTATAACTAACCCAGAGAACTAAAAATTCATCTTTTTTGGTCCTCTGTTGTGAAGGTATTACATGAGGGTCTAGTACAGTGGATGTACCTGTAGGCCTTGCTGAGTAGACCACTCCAGACTTATTTAAAATAAAGAGGACGTACCACTATGCTGTGTAGGGAGCGAGCCAGCTGGGTGATGGAGGCTAGGTGGTTTTCTCCGTGAATTATATTGGACTGCGTGGAGGAGCCGGAGATATCGCCCAGAGATCCCGCATCACTATGACTGTAATGATCGTATTGCCGGGAACTGTCCAGGGAATCGTCTGCTTCCACAGTCTGGGAACAAGGGAAACCAAACATTACTGCTTGTATTCAACAATTTGGAAATCAGTAAAGAAGACATAACTTAATGAAAAATGATGGAAGGGCAGCAACTCTTACGTGACAGTCAGAATCAGATACTTTGAACCATTTAAAGATTTACTACATTTAATTGATAACAACATTTTTGAAAGTTTCTCACTCCCTTACCTTTTCATACGCTGAGGGTTCTGGGATATGACACATTTCTGGGTCACTGTCCACATTTTGAGGACTTCCACTGCGACCTTCCAAGTCCTGAAGTTCAGCCAGATACTTCTTCTTTGGAACACAACCCTTCGGGTTATCAAATGAGGAGTCGAAGCCTGCGAAGGTCTCTGCTCTCTTTGGTAGGGGTGTGAGTGAGAACCCAGAGCTAACATGTTCCCCAACACTACTCACATGTCGGCTCAGGTGTGACCCTGATCCCTGTAGCATGTTAGTGAGGCGTGACGCCGTGGCCGATACTACAATTACAAAGCATGATTTCAAAAGAACTGTTTTGTCTTGTAAGCATAATATCCAGTTTTACTGCGTACTTCCCACCTCTCACAATGGAAAACTGTGGGCAATAAATCACTTGCTACCACAGTCCACTGCACACATAATCCCCTTTCATGGCCAATCATGATTACATGACCATGAAAGGGGACCCGGTGTGCCCAGTGGACTGTGGTCACAAATTGTAAGAAAGGGGAGATAATCAATAAGTAAGTAACGATGAAGTCAATACAGTGGAAAGGATAAACTTAATTGACACATTTAGAAAAGAAAAAAAAGAAGAAGTTAATAATGGTAATTTCATGATTGAAAAACAAACAAACAAAATTACTGAGTTGGCTACGTTATTGATTTCCTTATCACGTGAGAGGATAAGCATTTCCTGGAAAAGTTTATAATATTTAGGAGCTATTTCTTTATACAATTCAAATATACCATTCATTGAAAGAACTGGAATTCCTTAGAGATTGATACACCTTTACATTGTATGTATGAAAATGGTTTCAATATCCTGTACGTTTGCCACATCTTGAAAATTTAACTGAAAATGTAGTCAGAAATTCAACATTGTTTCCCGTATTTTGTTCTAATAGTTGAACAGACACTCCTTACCGTCCCCGACTTTTTCAGTTGACTCGAGGTTAATAAAATAATCTAAAAAAAAAAAACCTTCCCCGACACTGGAGCTGGATATAGTAATGCAAAAACACTTGTATCCATTATGAAGGATAAACTCAGACTGGGCTATTGAGAATAAAGACAAACTTACCTGGTTCTGATTAGTACTCACTCAGACAGGTACATGTAAATTATCTGCAGTGTAGGGTAGGTAAAAAGATTGTCCAGGTGAACATTTTTTACTCAATTTGTCTGTTTTGTTCGAGTTGGGAAGCATGCAGTAAGCCAGTTATTGCATGATTTCTCGTCACTCGGGACTTATTACACCCTCGCTTCGCTCGGGTGTAATAAATCCCTTGTTACTCGAAAACCATGCAATAACCTTTACAAACTGACACATCATCAAGACATTATGGTAACACTTACAACTTGACACATTGTGAAAGATGTATCACTAATACATCAAGATATTATTTAACTAATCTGAAAAAGTTATCTTTCAATTTTGTACCTTTCAATTTTGTTTCTTCTTTTTAATAATAAGTAAAAGAATATTTTATTTCTATATTCTGCTATCATACTATCACATTTTTCATTATAAATTTTCAAATACAATCAAAAGATATCCACGGTAATATTAGAGTTATGCCCCTTACCTTCCTGTATAGCTGTCTGGAGTGCGTCCATGTGTTCAGTGCTGTCCTCCTCTGCTGCTCCCTTCTGTGGTAGATAGAAAAGTACGTTTTAGATACATGGTCAGTGTGCACGTTATTATCAAACACATTCCACCATATCACATACACATGTTTAAGTCTGATGAAAATCCGAATTATCTGATGAACTTAAATAATACCCATGTATTCTGGACAATATTACATGAATAATTTTATAAATAGTTATGGAGAACTTTTCACACGAAGTATTTAAATGTTAATCATATGGAGACATAAAAGTGATGTAATCTTTCCTAGACAAAATAGCTCTGCAGCACCAGTTGCAACAGTTTGTGTATTTCTATGTTTTATAGTTTACAACTTACTGCTTAAGGTCATGAAAGTAAGTGTGGGTTGCCTCCCCTTACACGTAAATAATCACCACAGATGATTAATTAGTAGATTTGCCTAACACACCAATTAGGCAGTACACTCCACCTTCAGATGACTACTACCAAGTAACTATCACAATCAGATGACTACTACCAAGTAATTGTCACAATCAGATGACTACTACCACGTAACTGTCACAATCAGATGACCACTAGCCAGTAATTGTCACAATCAGATGACCACTAGCCAGTAACTGTCGCAATCAGATGACCACTGGCCAGTAACCTTCACAATCAGATGACCACTACCAAGTAACTATCACAATCAGATGACCACTACCAAGTAACTGTCACAATCAGATGACCACTTGCCAGTAACTATCACAATCAGATGACCACTGGCCAGTAACCTTCACAATCAGATGACTACTACCAAGTAATTGTCACAATCAGCTGACTACTACCAAGTAATTGTCACAATCAGATGACTACTACCACGTAACTGTCACAATCAGATGACCACTAGCCAGTAACTATCACAATCAGATGGCCACTACCAAGTAACTGTCACAATCAGATGACCACTGGCCAGTGACTGTCACACTCAGATGACTACTACCAAGTAACTGTCACAATCAGATGACCTCTAGCCAGTAACTGTCACAATCAGATGACTACTACCAAGTAACTATCACAATCGGATGACCACTAGCCAGTAACTATCACAATCAGATGACCACTACCAAGTAACTATCACAATCAGATGACTACTGCCAAGTAACTGTCACAATCAGATGCCCACTAGCCAGTAACTGTCACAATCAGATGACCACTACCAAGTAACTATCACAATCAGATGACCACTACCAAGTAACTATCACAATCAGATGACCACTACCAAGTAACTATCACAATCAGATGACCACTACCAAGTAACTATCACAATCAGATGACCCCTAGCCAGTAACTGTCACAATCAGATGACCACTGGCCAGTAACTGTCACAATCAGATGCCCACTAGCCATTAACTGTCACAATCAGATGACCACTAGCCAGTAACTGTCGCAATCAGATGACCACTGGCCAGTAACCTTCACAATCAGATGACCACTACCAAGTAACTATCCCAATCAGATGACTACTACCAAGTAACTGTCACAATCAGATGACAACTACCAAGTAACTGTCACAATCAGATGACCACTACCAAGTAACTGTCACAATCAAATGACCACTGGCCAGTAACTGTCACAATCAGATGACCACTAGCCATTAACTGTCACAATCAGATGACCACTAGCCAGTACTTACTGTCACAATCAGATGACCACTACCAAGTAACTGTCACAATCAGATGACCACTACCAAGTAACTGTCACAATCAGATGACCACTACCAAGTAACTGTCACAATCAGATGACCACTGGCCAGTGACTGTCACACTCAGATGATCACTGGCCAGTACTTACTGTCTACAATCAGATGACCACTGGCCAGTACTTACTGTCCACCCTCTGATGACCACTAGCCAGTACTTACTGTCCACCCTTTGATGACCACTGGCCAGTATTTACTGTCCACCCTCAGATGACCACTGGTCAGTATTTACTGTCCACCCTCAGATGACCACTAGCCAGTATTTACTGTCCACCCTCAGATGACCACTGACCAGTACTTACTGTCCACCCTCAGATGACCACTAGCCAATACTTACCCTTTCCACTCTCCAGCTGTACATCTCCAGGAGTTCCAGCATCAGTTTATTTTTGACATCACAGCAACTTTTGATCTCGCGGTCCTTTTGGTGGAGTTGTTCTGTACAATGATAACAAGTGTTACTGATACAACATCTGAGGGAGAAGTGAACTCAAATCACAATACCTCTATTGAGATGAAAAATAAATATTCATTATATTTAAAAAAAAAATTCAAGCAAATGATTTAAAAATATTTTCCTACAAGTTCCCAATAATTAAACAAAATCCACTGATTTATGCAAAGTATTTAAAAAATCCTGTTTATATAAAAGTGAAATATTTCGAAGTCTCTTAAATGACTAGAAATTGTGTTAACTTGTCTATCAATCTTTTTATATATTTCTACTGTGAAAGATAATTTAACTAAATAACCTTCTTCGTGGCAATTGTGGAGGTGATAAATGAAGTTGTTTCTCCCTGTTGGTGTCTTACCTATGATGTCTTTGACTTTGGCTGACCTTGCGTCCATTAGTCGTCTCTGTTCTTCATCCTCTTCATTTGGAACTTCCTCCACTAAAACATAATATCACATCTTATAGCAACACAGATCTTAAACAAAGCATTAAACATCATACAGAAGCAAACCAATAAATCCCAGGAGCAGTGATGGAAAGACAGGTTCATATTAATGATGTTAAATCATCTCTTTATTTCCATATTTAAAGGCCAGCAATATCGAACCACTACTGACAATGTTATAGTGTATTTTTCTTAAAAGTTGGTCAAAAATAAGTACAATAAGTAGTCATAATCTACATTGATGTAGTTCCACGGTAGACATATCATCACATACCTTCCTCTGGAGGACAGCCGTCTGTGGCCTGTCTCAGCATGTCTATCCAGTTACGACGGTAGTTATTATTGCTACAGATGATTTCGTACATCTCCGGGTTTTGTTTGTTCTGACTGATGAGGTAAATACCCTTATTGTCCGCCCGTGTGTCTCCCTTCTCTCTGACCAGCAGTTGGAACAGGGGGATCACACTGGACTGTAATACAGAAGATGTTTACAGCATATTACATAGGAGGTAGGAAAGGATTAGTCTAGTTAGTCAATGTTATGATTTTAAGACTGTTTGTCAAAATGTGTCAGGTAATACACAGCCTGATTAGTTCATCAGCATGGAGCTGATTTGATTCATAAAGAATAGATTCTGATTCTGCAGACAGATATTTTCAAGCATATTGTCTAGTTTCCTAAGCATGCAACCAAACCTGTATAAAGAGACCACACACTCAGGAAGTCCATAAAAAAGGTTTCTTAACACAGCTGGTCTCTTAACAATGGTTCAGTAACTTCAGTTCACAATGAAATCAGTACAAGGGTCTCTTAACTCATTCACCCCTTCATATTTAAACTGGACTTGCCCAGTCTTTGATTTGGTAAGGTTCAAATGTGACTTTAGGGGGTGAATGGGTAATACAGGTGATCTTATGATTAGGTTTGACAAATGTATAGGCCATTACACTAAGTGGAAGCACAGACCTGGTAATGGAAGCTTACCTTACTATCCTGGGAAAAGAAGTTGTATTTGCCGTTTGCCTCCTGCATGAAGAAGACAAGGTCTGAGAGGACCACCAGTATTGCTTCTGGAATTTAGAAACATTTATGAGATAAACAGTTTACTAAGTATTCTCATAAATTAAACTTTTCTTGATACTTAAATCTATGAAATAAAAACTTTCCCGAGACAAACATTTCTGTCACAGTAATCTTGTCAATCAGAGAGTAGTATTTAATGATAAAATAACAAGAGTGAGAAATGCTTGTGATTTTAATTGTGGAGTTATAATGTAATGGACCGGTGCTATGCTGTTAGATGTTCCCCTGATGATGAGCTCTGTCACTTTCAGTAACATGTTTGTTATTTGAAAAAGTTAATTTAACAAACTGATTCTTTTTGTAACTCGACGAATACCGGTTTTTAGTTTAACTTGTTGGGTGATTTTTTTTTATTATTTTTTTTGCTTGTGAAAAAAATCTCATGAGAAAATAAAACTGATATTAATTCATTAAATAAAAGTAATTTCCTCTTTATATTGTAGTAAGACTAAGGTCAACATTCTTTTAACTGACTTTAAACAAACAGCTGACATTGGCAGACTAAATGCTCCACACTGACTTACAACAATGAACTCAATATGACTTACCTGTCACTTTACCGCGAGCATTCTTCAGCTGGACTGACCCTTCATGTAAAAGGCACCTTCCATTGGCTATAATATCAGACCTCTGTCAACATCAAAAACAGAGTGTGACCATTGGCTATAATATCAGACCTCTGTCAACATCAAAAACAAAGTGTAAGGCCAAAACCAGCACTTCTAACACCTTAGTTTTTGGGGTTCAAATTACAACCCCTCTCGAACAATTCTGTAACTTTTACAAAACCTTAGTAATAGTGAGCAATCTAATTACCTGTAACAAAAAGTTAATTAATAGGCATTTTCTGGGTCACAAATAAAGCAAAAATCAAAACTTCAGAGAAATATACACACTGTATGATATCATGTCATAATAAATCTTCACCAAAACTAGGAGGAAAATAAACACATACTTACAAAACTCATAACATGATATCATTTCATTGTGTGAAATAGTGACATCACTATTGATTTATAAAGTCCTTTTACTATTAATCTTCACAGAAATGAACACTTAGATCAAATATATACCACATCTCTAATTGACCTTGACATTTGTTACCCTGATGTTGCCTGACCATGACATTATTTAACCTGATGTTGACTGACCTTGACATTGGTTACCCTGATGTTGCCTGACCTTGACATTATTTACCCTGATGTTGACTGACCTTGACATTGGTTACCCTGATGTTGACTGACCTTGACATTAGTAACCCTGATGTTGACTGACCTAGACATTGGTTACCCTGATGTTGACTGACCTTGACATTAGTTAACCTGATGTTATCTTACCTTGAATTTCTTGCCCTTGTACATGGCCACGGCTCTCTGGTCCATCTTGTTGTAGATGTCCTCGAGCCGTTGTAGTAGTTCGTACTTATTTACTTGCTCGTCTATACTGTGTAGGAGATCTCTACTTAAATTTAAAGCCTTTATTAAGTTTTCTCTGTCCTTTTTATCTGTAAAATAACAAATGTAAACTTTAAAACATTCCATTCTGCAAACCTCAAATAAAACTTCCATGAGTAGTAAGATACAAATATAATGCCCTATTAAATATTGATGTGGGTTAAAATGCTCTGTGTGCAGATATGTGAGTTGTAACTTTCTTATCTTACCTTTGGTACTTTTAAGTATGGCCTCTATGAGGGTGAGATATTTGGAGGGTCTTTGGGTCACAGCCAGAAGGAAGTCAGGTATTTCTCTTTTATTACATAATGTATGATTATTGCACTTCTGTAAATAACAAAATAAAATTCATATTTAGAATATTATTTTTTAAATAGCATATTTTACATTCAGAGGCAACTTTAAGGGGCAAACCTCTAAAAATTGAAAGTTTGGTATGAACTTTCTAATATAATTAGATATATACAAACATATATTGTACTAATCTATGTCAACAGTGTTTTTTTTCTGTTATCAAGAACAGACAGCTTGAAGGAACATTAATTAAAATTTCTAAATTTTAACATAACTTTTAATAGCATTCATTACATAGGCTTAACAAGTAAATATGATACAGAAAGTAATATCCTAGATTAAGTAAGGACCATGTTGTTGAGTTCTGTTTGTTACCTTCATATAACTTTGAAATGATCGATCCTTCATGAGGAGATCTTTATAATATTGGTTTGAGCTCTTCTGTCTACAGCAGAAACCTCCATAGGCTGCCTTCATCTGCTCAGCAGATTCTCCGTCAAACTACAAATAGAGTTACCTCCCATTAATCAAATATTACAGGCAGTAATAACTATATAACACAAGTTGTCTCCCCTCAACCACTTGGTTCTAGTTAAGGATACAACACAGATGTTTTATTTACCTATGATCTCATACTAAATTAATTTGAAGTAAAATACCTATTCCTGTATGGTCATTTAATTTATACTTTATGATGCCTCACCTAACTGTGTAGGTTGACCTGAAGAGAAACAATGTCTGACCTGAGCATTATGTCAGCTATTTAGAGCGAAATGTAGGGAAACCTGTTACTTTACCTGGTTGACGATGGTTTCTCCGATCTGGTCGACACTGTGGTCGGGTCGGAGGTTCTGGAGGTCCTGCAGGCTGTGGAGGAATGTCAGGTGAATTTCTATGAGATCATCAAGGTTGGGGAAGAGGCGGTCTACCACCTCCTGTGGCATGTGTAGCTCATCCAGTATTGTGTGGCTGTAGATCTGTGGACAATTAGACAGCCATTATTAAACTTATGTGGAGATTTAGCCAATTACAGACAAGCATTAACCTTACAGGGAGATTTCACTAATATCTTCAACAACTATCACTAACCTTACAGGGAGATTTCACTAATATCATCAACAACTATCACTACCCTTACAGGGAGATTTCACTAATATCATCAACAACTATCACTAACCTTACAGGGAGATTTAACTAATATCATCAACAACTATCACTAACCTTACAGGGAGATTTTACTAATATCATCAACAACTATCACTAACCTTTTAGGGAGATTTTGCCATTTTCAGAAATTTACATTATACGGTTCACTTTCAGTTACATGGTTGCTAACAGCCGGTTTATTATAAGTCATCGACTTTATGCCTGATATAAATCTCTTTGTCCAAAGGGCATGGTCCTGGTTTTTATTATTTATTGTAAAATGTGATTTTAATTTTAGGATCTCTGTCCCTCTGCACTCTGTTTTTTTTGTGTATATATACACAAACCTCCCCTTAATTCCGTTTTTGAGATTCTGTTCTTGAGAGACTTCCTTGGAGTGAGAGAACTATCACATAGTTGGGCCAGAGGACTTCCTTGGAGTATGTAACTAGCTCAGTTGGTAAGTGTGAAATTAAAACAATTGGAAGTCTCTGGTTGGAATCCAGGTCTATAGACCTGCTGATCTTTTACACTGTGAATAATTATTATTATTCGATTTTTGTTTTGTTGATTTTTATTAGGTTTTCATAAAAGTCCAGAAAGTATGGTTTTCTTTTCAAACGTGACAGCTCCATGAAATGTCAGGTTCGCGGATGTTATTTTTAAAGACAAGATCTTAACTTTTAATGGCAGCGCAGCAAACAAGCAATATGATAATGATCTGTAATGTTGCTGAAGCCATGGAGGTTAGTATCTATCTTATACCTTATATATATATATGTAGGGAAGTTTACCATACATTAGTAACAGTTGCCATACAGTTGTATATAACGGACTAGAGTTTAATGTTGACCCTCACCCTTTGTAAGATCTTTAACCGTCTGCAGTGGTGTCGTTCTGTCTGTATCAACTCTGTAAGTAGATAATAAACATTAACAACCAATAATGTGTGGATATAACAGATACATATGTATCGTTAGAACACAATTTATCTTTTGTAATTCATTACTGTTCTTTTCAATAAATCACTGTCGTACGTACAGTAAGATGGATCGTTGAGAATGACATTTTATATATATCACTGCCAAATCAGGACCATGTATATGCATGTTCCTCCATTAAATGACCTTCTAAATATACATTTCAATAAGTCATACATTTCAATAAGTTATACATTTCAATATTTCAATAACACTTACCCCATATTGTATCTTGACGCTTAATATCTTTGTGACTCATTTTCTTGATCACCTGAAAATGAAACAAAGATGAATCTGATAAGGAAAGGCCTGTAGTAAATAATATAACTACAGATTGGTTCAAACTTTGTTCAAACTTAATATATCATGATCACTACACCAAGAACTTTGATACGTACCATTTTAGAAGGGTCCGCATCCAACATTTTATAAGTTTGACTTATTCCAAACAATATGATTTTGATCTATATCACTAAATATATTCTCATAGTTGAAGTAAACTAAAGTACATGTCTCTCCTTTCAATGGCACAGGTATAATGTTGGTAGGAAGCCAAAAATGTCATATCACAGCTGTAGAAATAACAACATGAACTTTGACCTTGAACTGATTGTCTAGGTATGGTAACAGGTGATGTGTGATTACTGTGTTGTAATTAGTGTACAAACACCTGTACAGAACAACAAAGCCTGTCTTACTGCTGCTCACAGGTAAACATACCTGGTGATCACCTCTTTGATCTACCTGTGTCTAACTGTTCAGCCCAGGTGTGATAATCTACCTGTGTAGGTTAACTCATTCACCCCTACAGTTTTAAACTGGACTTTCCTAGTCTTTGATTTGGTAAGATTCAAATGTGACTTAAGGAGTGAATAGGTTAATCAGTAGGTAATTACACCTGCTTGTTAATACAAAACATTATATTCAGTATTCCCACACTAATTGGAAAGCTATTTCTCACACTCAAGGTTAATCCTGGAACACCCTAAGTTCTGTCAATCTGTGGGATATTTATAGTTTTATGAACTAATTGATAAGAAATCATAAGTAATCTGTCAATTGTCATCTATTGTGTTTATATTAACAAGTACTGATTAGGTTATCAAACACATGTTTATAGCTCAGATCAGATATTTTTTTATCAAAAAGCATGCAGTAAAATTCTTGCCGACATAAATTTAATAACTGCATCTCTGATTTTATAGAACATTTTTCATGTCATAATTCAACAAAACATTTTTTAACTATTGAAATAAGGTTTAAAGTGATTTCAGCTTCATTTCAAACATGAATTCATTACATTTTACAAAGTGAGAAACTCTTGCAATTAGTTTTATGGAATATTTTTTTTGATATGTATCTAAATTATTAAAGCTTGTATCCCCGACTGCATCCAGAGATATATCGAAAGGAGTGTAAGCACAATGAATATGACACTTGTACAACCAACCTGCTTTACACTTACTTTCCTATCAATTGAGCCACTCCACGTTTCTTCCTCATCGTATCGGAGCATCAGAAGCTCGTCGTCGTAATTATCATTAACTTCGGAAGGTGCTGTCAAATAAACATAGCAGTACATAGCTAAAAGTGTGTGACAATTGAATCGTCTGACTAGACTGACATAATGTGCATATATTGTTGCTAGAATGACCTAATAAGTTGTACAGAAGTTATCACTTGAGTATATGACATCGTGAACAGAAGTCGTGACTAGACTGTACATGACATCGTGAACAGAAGTCGTGACTAGACTGTATATGACATCGTGAACAGAAGTCGTGATTAGACTGTACATGACATCGTGAACAGATGTCGTGACTAGACTGTACATGACATCGTGAACAGAAGTCATGACTAGACTGTACATGACATCGTGAACAGAAGTAGTGACTAGACTGTACATGACATCGGGAACAGAAGTCGTGACTAGACTGTACATGACAACGTGAACAGAAGTCGTGACTAGACTGTATATGACATCGTGAACAGAAGTCGTGACTAGACTGTATATGACATCGTGAACAGAAGTCGTGTTAAGACTGTACATGACATCGTGAACAGAAGTCGTGATTAGACTGTACATGACATCGTGAACAGAAGTCATGACTAGACTGTACATGACATCGTGAACAGAAATCGTGACTAGACGGTACAGGACATCGTGAACAGAAGTCGTGACTAGACTGACATATAACATCGTCAACAGAAGTCGTGACTAGACTGTATATGACATCGTGAACAGAAGTCGTGATTAGACTGTACATGACATCGTGAACAGATGTCGTGACTAGACTGTACATGACATCGTGAACAGAAGTCGTGACTAGACTGACATATGACATTAATTACCAGCAATGTGTGAATCTATAAATTACATAAAATTAAAATCTATTAACAGCTAGCATCTGTTTCATCATACTATTACATGATTCATAAAAAGATTATTTTCGGTTTTTACCCTTTCATCTGAATAACATAAAGAACACACTGCTCAATCAATATTCTATATAAATATTCATGAAATTATTCATCTTTCAATTATTATTTTTTGCAGATGTTAAAATAATAAGTCTATACTGATTATTTAACAGAATTTTCTCTCTGCAGATCTTTATATTATAATTACTCACCATCCGTTTCATCCAGAGATTCCAGTGACTCGGATATTGTTTCCCCAATACTGTGAAAAAAACATATTTTATTAATCAACATACTTATGTTACCATGACTACAACCAGGTTACACCTTCAGCTCATTCTATGCCATCACAAAACTGATTTCCAATACGTTATAGAACCTCTAATTGTCAAAGTTATCTTTTCAACATGATCATGGAAAAACTTTGGTCATATAGATATTCCAAAATCTCAACAAATGATTGTTTTAGAAGTGCCGTCTTTAACTCCAACAAAAATATAAAAGTCGCCTGACATCGCCCTAGGGTGTGAATATCAGGCACCAAAGATGACCTTGACTTTTGGATGTTACCGTAACAAAATGATAAATGAATACACAATCCTATAGCTCAACCAGTGAGGTGTTTATTGACGTTTCAATGTACTATAAAAGGTCAGCAACAACATTTCCAGTTGACCTCAAAGTCTTGAGGTCACTCTGTCCATTAGTGTCCACCTCCACACCAGTGGTCAGTGTTTACTTTCACTTTAGTCCATAAGTGCAACAGTAGTCAGAATTGACACACAGATATATATATTTAAAATAAGCAAACATAGCAATATATCCCTATAGGTACCTTTGTGTCACCTGAGAGTACATATACTGATAAGTCAAGTTCACATGTATGCTGTCAGTTACATCAAGATACATACACACCGCTTTTCCAAATGACAACTTGATACTCCTCAAAACACTGATGAGTGAAATTTGTTCTACATTGGTATTGATATTACATAATAAAATTGTATAAATTCTTAAATTTAGATCTTAGCGTATAATTATAACAAATTCCTCTCTGTTAAATACACTCGTGATGGTCTGGTGCCAGACGATCAGAGTGGTACCCACATCATCATGGCTAGGTATACATGATCTACATTTATGAATGGACAGTTACATCATGTGACCCGTGAATGAGTTACGTTCTATTCTAGGAACACAATCTAATCTTTGATTCTGTGTTGGCTACTTAATGTTGGCGTGTATATCTGTTTTACAATTACAATAATGTACTGTAGGAGTCTAGTCCCGTCAGTACACAGCCAACACAGTACACCATCTGTTTATTTGGTTGTCTACCCAGTGACTAGATAATAAACAACGTCTGTTCTTCAACTTATATTTAGCAGGTTTAGCAGGTTTATTTTATTTATATAAGATGAAGCAAGTGGATAACTACTTGTGACAAGATATCCCCGTGGTCTCCATTATACCAACGTATTTTTAGGATAATGACTGTGTGTAAATTCAGCATCTTGACACTGCATCCTTTGTAACGACTAATAATTCTGTCTCCCTCTCGTTTAGTGTAAATAGTATTATCTGTGTAGGAAGTTTCCCGCGATTCTATTCTACAGTAATGATTACATTTACAAGTCTTTGATCTATTTTTGCTGGATTCAAAATTGTCTGAATTAAACTTTCTGCCAGAAACTGCAGAATTTTGACAGCTAGTTAACTGTTTTACAAGTCCCTTAACCCTGTTTAAAAGGCCCCAATTTGATTCTTTAAATGGCTTCAAGAAGACCTCAACCTCCCCTTTTTGATGGCTGAAGAAAGATGCCAATCTGCCTCTTTCATGCTGCCAAAAGACAACACCCTTTTTGATCAATCTTCTAAATCTAATGGTTCCGTTCTCAATATACACGTCTTCTTTTATACCCTTGAAATATCAAAATGACAAAATTGAAGGCTTTGTATTCAACTTCTTGCGGATGATACAAGAATTAATTAATCTGAATTTGGGGTAGCTCATTTATCAACTTCAACGGACAGGTATCAGCCTAGCGATTGGGCAGTTTATTCCGTCTGAAACGCATCAAATAGCTTAACATGCCTCACTCTATTCGTCATGACATATTCTAAGGGTGCAGAGAAGGTTTGTATTTTGATGATGCATTAGATCTAATTCAAATCTGACCATGCACCGTCCTTTTAAGAAAGCCTCGACATTGTTGAATTAAACATGGTTACACCTTCTACTATATTTTAATCCCCCCCCCCCCCCCCCCCGCCTCCTTTCTGATTACATATCTTCATCTGCCTCCCCTCCCCTACCAACTTCAGCCTCTGCCCTACCATAATGACATTTCCTTACACTTCAAGATTATATTGATACAGATATACTTACTTTGACCCTGACTCCTGCCCGGAGAGGAAAGGGTCCCCATCTTCACTGATTGGCTTACTAAAAAGGTCAAAGGTCAAAAAATGGTCAAAAGGTCATAAAATAGATAGCAAATTACAACAGACATCATTTCATCATTTCAGCATACAACAATTATTATTGGCAACAGTCCAGATTACAAAATTATTTTGTTTTTAATTAGTGAAAATATCAAATATACACACATTGTCATTCTATCAGGATAAAAAGTCATGCGTATACTGTTCTCATGCTGTATCGTAAATCTTATAGTATGACATGCTGTTTGGTAGATCTGATACAGGTTAGTATAAATGAATGGTCAACATGCTGTTAAAAGTGATAGCAGATCCTTACAAATAAATCATAATTATTTTGTCCTGATCAGCGTGAATAAGCTCATCTGATCATGTCATACATTATATAACGTTCTAAGTGACCTTGCCATTTACATTTTAAGTGACCTTATATATCTTCAATTGCATTATATAATTATTTTTTGCATTGACTTTCCTTTATATATATGTCTTGTTTCTGAGAAATGTCACAAAATTACTATTACAACAATCTACCAGCATGATAACCAATCAACTGTTAGAATCAGATTTTATTTACAAACACAAGCTGCTGAGCAATACCTACTTATACATGTATATTCTGCTGCCATTTAAAGCTTGCAAATTGACAAACACTTAAGCTATAGGCCCATGGTTTATACATGCAGCTTTTAAACATTTTAATCACATCTGAATCTGTATTCTGTAATATGTAAGTGTTGTAACCTAAGAAATGACATCATCGGAAAACAACAGGAAACACATAAACAGGGACCGGAAGTTTGTGCATCTCTTTCTACATGTAAACGTATGGTAGAGGCCTAGAACAGGGTTGTAAAGAACATCATATTGGACTCACGGACTCATAAACTGAATTTAAACACTTTTTCATTCTATAGAGACTTACTAATGAATTGCAGTAATGGACAAATAAACTCATGAATTGCAATCGACAAATTAAAACAAGAGGTCCATAGGGCCTGTATCGCTCACCTTGATATCTAAGCAATCATGGCAGAATATTCTCCAAATGAGATCCAAGGGAATATGCATGCCAGACCCCAAGGCCAATCCTTGTAGCATATATATCTGTATTCAATTTTTCATGCCCAGCAATTTTATGTATGGTTATGGGGTGGGGATCTTAACTGTTTCCAAGCTGTGACGCAGAAACTAGGTCCCTACGGTTGTGGCCAGACCCCAGGATCAATTCTAATATCATGACTGCATTTGTCTCTTTTTGCCCAGCATTTGCATATATAGTTTTGGGGTGGGGATTTCAACCGTTTCAAAGTTATGACCCAGGGGTTAAGTCTGCAAGGGTGGGGCAAACCCTGGGGTCAATTCTAATATCATGACTGCATTTGTCTCTTTATGCCCAACAATTGTATATATAGTTTTGGGGTGGGGATCTTAACCATTTCAAAGTTATGACCCAGGGGTTAAGTCTCCAAGGGTGGGGCAGTCCCCAAGGCCATCCTGGAAGCATATGTGCATTCATCTCTTT